TTATATCACATAAGCAATTAGCCTCATGGTAAGCATGCTATCATGGCAGTCACTCACACGCATGCAAGGATGCTAAAGCATAAACACTTACCGAGTACTCCAAGGCAAACCAGAAGCTAATTAGAAATCATGCATGATTCTAAATATATAGAAATGCTTAATACAACACATGAAAAATGCAACTATAGCAGGCTCGGCTATTCTAAACATGGTATATGAAATGCTACAACTAACATGTATTCAATTTGGGATTGAAAGTACAATGCAGTTAGTATGATGCGCCGAGCCCGGTGCATGCAAAACAGATGAATGAATGCAAACATGCTATCATACTGTATGCTAATTGAAACATGCCCTAATCTAACCATCATAAGCGGGTAAATAAAATGGAGAAAGACGTGGGGTTGGAAGACATACATCACACACATGCACACTTATTACAGTTGTGCCCTCGCTCGGAGGGTCCGAATAAATACTACAGTCCCGAATAAATAATTACAGTCCAAATAATTACAAAACCCTAATTAATTAACAAATTAAATTAGGAAAGCAATAAATTGGCATGCAAGCCAGGGAATGCCTCAAATCTGCTCCGGATGATGAATGATGCATGCTCGGTTGCCTTGTGCGGAGAATCCCGGAGAATCCCTCGCGATGCCCCGATTTGCCTCTTTTTGTAATTGTTCTTGGAATGCGTGCCAAGCTCCGGAAAGCTGCCGATTTCTGATTTGCTGCAACAGAGAGCAACAAAGGGGCATGGCAAAGTATTTTCACATATGTATGCATGACTACTCTTCAGGGAGTGTAGTCCTCGATCCTCGTGCCACCAATCACGCATCTCGATGCATGATGGCCGGGGAGTCGAATTGCATGACTCAATATGGAATGAATGTACATGAAAACACAACAGGGCCTAGACTCCATCATGGATAATCCGGAGTGTCGGCGACCAGGAATTGAGATACGTTCCGTCACTCGGAGTACGAAACGTACCTCGTTTTCTGTGCTCGGGCTAACTCCTATCCCAAACACAATGCAATATGCATGACATGCATGAATCCAACTAATATACAACCTAAGATGCACAATCCTATGAAATGGCATACACGATGCACGAGGTAACATGGCATACACAATGCGCTAACATACAACCTAACATACACAATGCTATAAAATGAAATGGCATACACAATGCGCAATGGACTTACACCAACATGAGTGGACCACAGCCACAC